TCTCTCATTCTCTCTCTCTCAAATAAATAAATAAAATCTTTAAAAAAAAAAAGTTAACTTAGAATAGTCATCTACTTCCTCTATCCCCAAAGCTTCTACCTAAGTTCAGGCCACCATCATTAACCTCAGAGTCTCCAGTTTTGTACCTTCCCACCCTCCATAGAATCCTCACAATCACCCTGGGACAAAAGCATTACTATCCCCATTTCACAGCTAAGGAGACTAAGCCTTAAAGTAGATTTTGAATTTATGAACTTAGGTAAAACTTTCTTGGTAAGAGTCCAGAGTGGTGACTTTTCCTTGCCTAGATTCCTTTTATGCTGGTTATTCTGTGTGCTGTGCCTCCTCCCACCCAACTCCCTCTGCCCTATTCTGGGAAGCTGACCTCTATGAACTACATCACCCAAACCACCTTACCCCTAGGCTTCTGTTTGGATTTTGCCAATGGAAAGCATTAGCTGGAGACCTGAGAGCAGGAAGAGAGAGAGAAAGGTAAGAGCATCTATTTCTTGACTTCATTTCTGCTTATAGCAACTGCTTAGCCCTTATGGCCATAGCTCTTGTCAGGCAGTCCTTCTTCCAGATTGTAGCTGTAAGTGGGCTCTGGTAACAACACTCCTTCCTCTTTCCCCTCAGGCCTAGGAGTCCTACTAACTTGTCACTGTTGATGTATTTCAACATTCCTTTCTAATTCCTGCGAATACTGATCATATTTCTGTAAACAACCCTTTGGTTAAACTCTCTTCAGTTAAACCTTTTTGAATGCACCAGCTGTTTTTCTGCAAGGATTCTGATAAACTAGGAAAACAAACAAAAAAAAATGGCATGTTGTTGCAGTTCCATTCATTAAATTTCTAATATCTGTAATAGACTCTCCTTCCTTCCCTCAGATCCAAAGTTTTCCATCCTTCTGGGACTCCCTGGTCTTCCAAGAAGCCTCTCTAAATACTGTTACCTACAGAAAAACACTGTTGTTACCACTACTGTGCTGTATCTAGTGTGACATTAGTACTCTATTGTCCTACAGTTCTATGATCATTCAGTTTCATTAGTCTGATCATCCCTGCAAGGACGATAAGCTTTTAGCAGTAGGGAACTTCAGCAATTAGAATCTCTAATGACAAACGTATTTTAGAAGGAGCCTTAGTGGTTACCTTGTCTAACTTCCTTATTTTATAGATGCGGAGGTTTAGTTTTACACAGCTATAGAATAGTGGCAAACCTAAACCCATCATCTAGATTCTTCATATTGCTTCACCATGCTGTGATACTGCACTGGGTACTTAGTGGGCACTTAATATGCTAATGACTCACTCTTAAATTTATTCAGTTTTTGTTTTGTTCAATGCTAGGCCTTGGGCCTAGGTAGCTATCTGGCATATAGGATGTGCCCAGCAAAGATTTGCTCATTTTGAACCTGTGATGCAAGGCTAATTCCCTAGAAGTTAATCAGAACTCAGAGGATCATTTATAATAATAGTCCTTATAACCTAGAGAAAGTGTAGTTTTCAAAGTGCTTTCACATTTAAATGAGCCCATTTGCTCCCTCTGAGGTAGACATGGGAGGAATTATTAGTCTATTTTAACAGATGCAGGAAACTGAGCCTCTGAGAAGTTAAAAAGCAAGGTCCCTTTATTAGTACGTAGTAGAGCTGATACCAGTATTCATGTTTTTTGACTTCTACTTCAATACCATTTTCATTATTCCATGTGGCTTCTTCAGCTTTGCTGTTCTGCTTCTATAGCAGTTTCATTTAGGGAGTGAGTCTGAATATTCAAAATGAATAGGTAGATCATACACTTGTGTTCAAAGAGGTGATTTTGCTCCTTTAAAAATCCACTATTGGGGCACCTGGGTGGTTGGTTAAGCAAAGAACTCTTGGTTTCTGCTCAGATTGTGATCTCAGGGTCATGAGATTGAGCCCCATGTCGGGCTCTGCTCTCAGCGCGGAGTCTGCTTGAGATTCTCTCTCCTTCTGCCCCTCCCGCTCATGTTCTCTAAGATAAATCTTTTTTTAAAAATCCATTATTAGGGCGCCTGGGTGGCTCAGATGGTTAAGCGTCTGCCTTC